GTCTTTATTTTACAGTTAAAATATATGTTTATCAAGTAAAGTCTAATGTCACAACTAATCAGGGATCCCTTTAAAACAGACATATCTGCAAAATCCTCTTTTTTAGCTGTTAAATACATTTAAGATAAGATAAACTTTATTGATCTCACCGTGGGGAAATTTGCACATTACTGCAGCTCAACACAGGAGAGGGTGAGAAGAATAAAGAAAGATAAATAAAAGAAAAAAATGGTTTGTACTTAGAGTAACTTTAGAATTATAGAAAATTCTCCAGGTGCTTTTATGTTACGTTTGGGTCAGACTCTGGCTCCAACATGTAAGACTGGATGGACAAGTCTTCACTTATTCACATCTTAAATAAAGGTTTCTGTTCCACTATACTCATATCTCTGCTYTCAAACAACAAAACAGACCAAATGGGATCAAATGAGTCCCTCTGTGAGGAGGAGGGGACGGGCTGTGAAGGGCTTCGTTTACATTTAAACAGAGACCCCAACAAAACACAGGTGTGAAAGAGGGGCCAGGGCTTCATAGTTCCACTTTATACTGACCACAGAGTGATTTAAACGTGAAAATCAAAGCTTTACAAGCACAATATGTCTCCTGTAAAACAACACAGAGTAAAATATAACTAACAGGAGCCTTTAGGCTGTTAAACACAGTTCAATCAGTAATTTATGAAGTCACCTTTGTTTCTCTTGGCAGGCTTCAGGTCGACCTGGACACTGGCATATTTAGTGAGGACTGGATCCGTCTGACAGCCAATTTCTCGCTTTAGGTTMGGCTAGGAAAAAAATTTAAAATAGCAACAACAGGTTATTATTATTAATGAAACTGATTTACTAACATTTATGTTTAATGTTGAACATGAKGGTTCTGTCTAATGCTGCGTTCACACCGAACATGATTTCAGCATCAGGAGCATCAGGTTTACATACAAAGTCTATGGTGGACGCGCTTCAATCAGCGTCGGGAAGGGCTGCGGCGCGATTAGAGCAGCGCGATTTGAACGATTTGAACGATCTGAGCGTTCGACGCGCTGAGGCGCAAATCGCTGAAGTTAGAAAATCTGAACTTTTGCAGCTCGACGCGCCGCGTCAACCAATCAGAGAGACTCCACTTTGTGACGTAAAAAATGCTAATGATGCTACACATAACATTTAAGGTGAATGATGCAGGTGTGCAGTCCTGGTTGTGTGAGGAGGTGGATGTTTTTGATAATCATTAGTAGACGTAAAGTGAGAAGTACTCAATTTAATGGCAGCAAATGGTTCCTCTGATGACTAATCAGCTAAACAAAAAGTTAGCTGATTGGTGGAAATACCGTTAAGACACAAACGTGTCAAAAAATACTCCTGAAGGTAAAGTTTGTTTATTTCACAACTGCGTGCAAGCTGAAAAAATGCACTCCTTTAGTGATTACGACTGTGGTAGTTAACACAGCAAGCATTCACCTTTTGATCAAAATTTATGATTAGAAAACCAAAACAATAATAATAAAACAAAACTGTACCACCAACCCATCTTTGCTGTAGCTTCCATATACTAAACCAGATGAATGCACTGCACCATTTATGTTGGCTGACGCCACAAGTTTGTCTTAAAGGGATCCACGATTAGTTGTAACATTAAACTTTATTTGATAAACATTTATTTTATCTGTAAAATAAAGACTGTAAAATAC